TCTACTAAATGTCTCCAATTCTAAACCTATCACTCGCTCTTTGTGCGTCGAGGTTGACTGTGTCACATGGGGTTTGTAATTATGAATGAATTCTTTATCATCCCCTTTACAAATTTGGTGAGAAATTGTTCAGTTTTAGAAAGACAAATAGATTATTTTGTTGATTTCCTCCAGACTGTTGGATGTAAACTGTCCAGTTCAACCTTTCACCAATGACAACAATAAGACTACAAATAGATGATGTGATGTTGCAGTAAAACCCCTACGGGACCACTGCTGACGGGTTCATTGCAGTGCATCACTACACAGAGTGTTTTGTATGGTTGTCTTCCTCATGACGCTGCTCATGTCGCTTATAACTTGAATTGGGAGGCTAATAATTCTGGTTATTTTACATATAACGCGACCTGTTGTAAACGGGTTATATGTTTATTAGTCATGTGGCTGATCATCAAAGAAAAATAGATACTATCATTGGCCCTCCAGGCTTCTATTCCTCCCCTGCTCTCTGTGTCTTTCCTCCTATTTGGCCTTGGTTTCTGTTTCTTATCTGATGACTTTGGGTGTGTTACTGCGCGTGTGTGTGTGTGTGTGTTCTTGCCACTTAACTTTGGTGTGACAGGGGCGCAGCTGTAGTGTGTTGGATCAGTTCTAACAAGCAGGGCCCTGGATCATCGGCTTTAGCTAATTGTCCCATTGCTATTCAGGCGTCTGAGGCTTAAAACATGCAGTACCCACTCTCTGACCTGTAAGGGACAAACACACTCTCACAAATACTGTCAAACATGAAATGGCAATTAAGGCGCCAACATACAGAAACACAAGCCATTCAAACTTGTATGTTTGCACTTGAATTTCTTGGTTAACCGTTTAAAACTGTTAGAGACACTGATAGTAAGAGACAATAACATTCCTTGTCACCACTTTGAGGTTGGGGATCCGATCACTTGCCCGGTAGCGCCACCAGCAGGTTGACATTTGTGTCTTATGCAGCTATGGGATGAATCTGGTGTGTGTCCAGCTCCAGATTGCACTTGGGAGGAATTTTAATAACTTTGGTGATGAGTTCATTTTCAAGTATCAGCACCATGTTAATGCCACCATGCATTCCTGTATTCCCATTAGTCCCATCTTCATTTACCCTGACTGCAACAGAGTCCAAGGCATGTCGGCTTCTTCTTGGGTGGTTACGTGCTGACGTCATCTGAGGAGTGATGAAGCAAGGGGCCGACAAAAAAAGCAGAATAAGAAATCCAGTTGCTTTTAATTGAACATTTTATTTATAGAAAAACAAGGTAGTAAAGCTGTCAAGTGTCATGTATCAGTGATAATAACTGACGTGTTATTGTTAAACATCTAACCCCCAAAAATGTCACTAACAAACTGATCAACCAGCGGCAGGTCTTTCTGTTCCTTCTATTTCTGCACTCTAAGCACAGACACGGAGGAGAGAAAACTAATAGCAAACAAACCCAGACGGGCTCTTGGAGATAGGACGCTGTTTGCATGAGTCATTTCCAGCCATTCGGCTTGCCAAACTGTCTCTCTGATTGAGGAAAACAATGGAATCATTCATGTTCCGCTTGTTAGACTTTGTCCTCCATCTTCTTCTCCGACTTTCCTCCACCAACGCTTCACCCCTCTCCCCCACCACCGCCCCACGCTGCAATCTCCTCTCCCATGCTCTCTGTTTGTCTGTGAGAGCGAGGCAGAGAAAGATAAAGTGGCTGTATTGACCGGTTGACATTTCCAAAGTTGACAAATGTCCTGCTGAAATAACATAGAATAACTCAGCCTTCCTCCCACAAAGTACAACATTTATTCATTGCAACACGTTGGCTTCCACTTCAACAGTAGAGCCTTTAAATTGCCCCCCCGGGTGCACTTTAAGTATCTTATGAGATAGAGGAAAACATATTTCATAGTAGCCGTCATATATTGTGTGTATAAAAAAAGACGGGCCTTCACAGAACACACCCAGTGTGTTCCTAAATTAAACCTCTTCTCAGGGCTATTTGGGGATGTGCAAACCGTAAATGATTTTCCCCTCTTCCCCCTTCTGTCGGAGGTGTCGTAGTTGGGCAGGACAATTTAAACTCGTATCATCTTATTAGTCCGTGAATTATGGCGGCGTTATTGAACACGATAGCCAGCATGACTCCCATCTGACATCCATCTGACACCCGAATAGAGGTCTGAGCAGTCACAGCAATTAAGAACACAAAAAAACATCTTTTTCAGCTGCTTTCTTTGCAGTGAAGAACATGTAATATGAGTGGAAAGAAGCAGCTGATAAGCAGTACATTAAAAAGTAGTTTTAAAAAAAGGAGGAATGGCGGATTCTGGATCTCACTCTTCCTTCTTTACAAACTTCACTCAGGAATTTTTTATTAACATTTATCAACGTTTTACGTTTGTTTCTCGTGAGATGTTAGTAACTTTCTGGTGACTTGTTTTGCTGTAATTTTTTTAAAAGCAATCATTTAGTCACGTAGAGAAGAATCTTGTGTTGTACTAAATTAAGTGAATAAAACTGTCCAGAAGGCCGCCTTAAATCTCACGGAAAATGACCTTTTTAATTGCTTACAATCTCCAACACACCAGTAGATGCCACTAAATCTCACTGGGCCTTGGAGTCCAGAGCTAGAGTGAGTATACCAGATTCCAAAATGCTAAATATTTCATTTATTTGTAATGAATACTTAATGGTGGGATGGTTTTGATCTCTGAAACACTGCTCGGATGACAGAGGTTCCTACGCAAAGAATGAGGTTTTGTGTGAACAAAGATTTACTGCTAAAAAGCAAATTTTTCTCTTCTGTCCAACTAATAGAGATCGCAATAAAATACGCTGCCAAAATAAGTGTTATGTATGTGATACATTTTTGTCCAATTCACTTCAGTAAAGAGCATGAAACTGAGATTTATGGAAACACGGCGGTGTGGTCTGGACCGTGACTGACATCCAGTGGTGAAACAAGGGCACTGTTATATTTTGGTAACTGTGATAACGTCAACTCACTTCATCACGTGTTCTGTGCAGGTTTAATGAGGCTTAGTCCAATGTTGTCGGGACTAAAAGTTTATGAGATCTTATGATTGTGTGAGGAATGCATGAAACAAAAGGCACATTTTGTTGCTTTTCACTACCGATCCCTTTGTAAAGCCAGACATCTCCCTAGCTGGTCCAAATAGTTGTCTAATATTGTTTTGCCCTATTACAACACACTAAAAAAACACTTAATGTGCAGTAGAAGCAGTAACAATTACATATTATTATTATTATTTGACATGACAATAATCTGCACCTTGAACATGCAGTACATGTGCCTCCAAAGAAAAAAAATCCAATCCTCTACACCCGCCGCCGTGTACAAAGAACTCTCTGTCTCCGCTTAATGGTGAATAATTCCCCAATCCCTCTCTGGGCTTCAAGTCTCAACTCTTGTTCGGAATTTACAAATTCTTCTTGGACCAAGTTGGCCATCAGGGCCAAGAAGACTACGTCACCCAGAATCCCTGGTGGAGGCCGACACTGAGAACTATTCATGTAGATGTAGAGCCGAATGGGGAAACGATTTCAACACTGCTGAGAGGAAACAGCTGCAGCCCTCTGCAGTTTGAGGGTGACAGACTTCCCCGTCCCTCTTCCTCACACACAGTCCCTCTCACACGCTTTTCGTTTGTCTCCAAATGTTTTTTCCCTTTCACTTTTTTGTTGTGTGGGTTTCCTCAGCATGTCTCCCAGTCCTTATCTCTTACTTCTATACTCTTATAATCTCCCTCACAAACACACTCACTCTGAAATACAAGCATGATTAAACACAGGGGAACACAACTCTGAAAATACATTCCCAGGAATATTACAATTCAAATAGGGTTCACATTTCAGCTTCTTACAAAAACACGTTTACTGCAGTTTGTTACCAGAGTGGAACAAAGTGTGTGTGCTTCTCGAGTATGAGCTGTGTCCAAGTGTCACCCCCTCAGGAGTGGAAATCCAGAGGTTTTACTGTGAAATCTGACATTAGAATCAAAGTGAGAACTGTAGTTCAGTGTTATCTTTCATCAGCGCTTAAGTGTCACAAGTTCCTGACTCTCGAAATAACCACAGGAACATGGAAACTGCTGCTTAGAGAGAGACGCCCGGAGATAAAATGACCTGCGGCATTTACTTTTGTGCTTTGACGCACACGCAGAAACTACCATTTAGGGTATGAACTTCAGTGCACTGAATCCCCTTAGCTCCTCCTCTCTGTATTTGTGTAAATGTGTGAGTTTGTGAACTCGCTCGCATGTACAGCATGTGTGTGTGTGTGTGTGTCGGTTTGTGTGTACATGTGTTAGTTAGAGCCACATCTGGAAACAATAGAGCAGTAGGTGCTGTCACTTTCCCTTTCCCTCACGCTTTTCAGTGTGTCCTTAAACAAACACTCAATTCACCCACAGTAAATTACAGGAAGGCAACCTGAGCTGCAGACTGAGCTATTTGGACTTTCTCTTCCCGTCTCTGGCACACATGCACGCCCAGAAGTCATCCGTTTCTCCAGATGCAATTTTATCCCATGCGCTGGCAAAATACAGTCTTGCAGTCATTATGTGTAATTGTAAAACAATTACAAGTCGTTTTGAAGTGAGAGGAGGTGTGTGTTTTCTGTGTGTGTGTGTGTGTTGGGGTTGTTGTAAGTTCATATTTCATGTAATGTGATTGATGGCACTGTGATGTTTACACGGTATAATCACCGTTTCCAGAGAAGCTTCAAAACTAATTTAGCGGTTATGGAGCATTTCTTATCCTAAAAACCAAAATACACAAACACAAGAGGAATCAAAAAGTAGTGGCTGCTGTATGGACATGTGGAGCGGCGTCACATCCCGACACATCTCATCAGACAAAAGGTGGCAGCATTGTTCGTTCATAAACAACATTTGACAAAAGAAAATCTAGTCAAACAAATGCTTATTTGAAGTGCACACACAAAAATGGCATCTGACAAATATTGGAAACCAAAACGTTTTATTCATCATCTTCTGATACAAAAGTCTTTTTAAATAACAAGTTTTACATTTTTTGTCACTTTCTTTTTTTTTTTTTTTTACAATGATAAATTAGCAAATACATTGACATCATCAAGACCATGAGTTTTCTACACAAAGGAACAGTCTAGACCTTCAAAGGCTACGGTCAGGGATGGTGAACTGATCCCGAAAAGCATTTACAAACCTGCACTACCAGTGGTTCTCAATCTTCATCAGGCTGCGGCACACACACACACACACACACACACACACACACATACACACACTCGGCACGCGTGTAGAATGCTCGGCAATGTCACCTGAAGCCCCGTGCGAGCAAACCACAGGAGAAAGCCAAAAACATTCATTCGGTTCCAGTGGGAAACTGCATTCGTTCAGAGCGAAGTGGTCAGAGGTTAATTTAATTCACTTTAACTCAATGTGATGTTTGTTTGACTTTGGAGATTTAATAAGCGTGCCATGGATGTTTGTTTGAGAAACACTGGTGTTTCACGGTTCTAGGTTTACCCCACAAGTATCTTTTCAATGGAACATGGGTGCTGTTACATTTAGTTTTGGGGAAAAATGCAACAAGTTAATTTCTGTCCCGGGTTTTAAGCATTCGGTTAAAATGACCTGTACGAGGCACTATGTGGTTAAAATGACGCACAGGGGGGCAAAGTTCCAAATCACTCAAGCTCTTATACATTTAAACAGCCTGCTTAAAGGGGGGGATGGTGTAACGTGACACACGCCCGCATAGGATACATTCAAATACTCACTGAAATAATAGAGCTTTGCTAGATAGATTGTCAGGCAAATAGAAGGTTCACGGGAGCATTTGTAGAATTAAGTGCAGCTGTGAGACCCGGAATAACTTATTCTAATTAAAGCTCATAGAACAGCTCATAAGAAGTTACAGAAGAGAACTGCAGGATTCAAACGTTGGGAGGAAAAAGAAATTCTGAAATGTAATCTTTTCATTCATGGACGACTTGATTGTCTGCGAACGAGCCACGATGAGGTCGACGAGGTTGATGCGGAACCGACGAGCGCAACCGACAGACTCCTGTGATTCCTTTATTGAACTGAAGCGGAATAAAAAGACGGCAAGGAGTTACAACTTTGTATATAGGCGGGCTCAGTATTGGTGGTATTTCAGCAGTGATAGCTGCTCGTGGAAGAGATTCGTGGGAACTACCTGCTCTGCGCGCCTGTGTGTCTCTTGGCAAGTGGTCGTCTAATAACCTCTAATTCTTCAACGTGCCCTTCGGCCCGATGTTTGGAGAGGAGGCCAGAGGCAATGGATTTAATTTCCAGGATTTCACGGTGACTCAGGAGCATATGCAGGACGGGGTTCCCACCGACGCGGCACAGATCATTGGAAGTGAGCTGATCTTTTCGTGGACTGCTGAGGTAAAACACAAAGGCCTACATTTCCCAGACATCTTACCGCTTCTCCGTTTATGGGTCAATAAAAAGGCCCAGCTGGGTTTTTCGCCCAGGATTCATTGCGGCGTGACTTGTGAATTTAACCGCATTAGAGTTTATTTTAAAGGCTCTCGCCGCTGCCGTCCCTAATGTGACGCTTCACAAATTGTATACAACTGTAGTGCATTATCGCAGCTTAGAGCTGGTTTTCCAAAAAATGTCTGAGCAATGAAACCACTTGCTCTTTTATAAATTGTACAAAAAGTGATAATTTACAAAAATGTATGATATTGGTTTCTTCAAATGTAAACACATCACAGATTTAAGGCCATATTTAATGGGTTGTCATCTGGTTCGGATTACTTTTGGTCGGGTATTTCCTTGTGATTCCCCCCATTAGGATGTGAAAAAAGCCCCACAGGACCTCGAGTTGTCAGACGCGTTTGTGAAACGTCAGCCGGCACCTGTGTAACGTCTGCTCCACGACCCTCCAGTGTAAAATTCTGAAATGTTCAAGAGACCCTAAAAAGACACAATGGTATGAAGGTTTCTGTCTCCAGCAGGTTCAGTCCCTGGAGAAAAGAGAGGCAGAGAGGTAGACGCGGTGCTACACAGCTCATCGCTGCGTCTGGTCTGCATATTAGTTTCTGTTCTGCCCTTTTTTGATCACCATTCGCTTTCTCCACCTCTACCGGGCAAAGAACCCAACCCTCCACTTCTGTCCTCCTTCGTTGGAGCCGGTTGGAGGGGGCGGGTGAGGCGTGCTTTCCAGACTCTCTGCGAGCTTTCGTGTTGCCATTGCGTTTCTTTAAGTGACGGTGAAGCCGGTAGAGGTCCATTCCTGTCCGTGCTCTCTCTCTCCCTCTCTCTCTTCCTCCTCCTCCTCACACCACCGTCTCGTTGCCCTTCCCCGGTTTTATCCAGCCCTCCCCCGGTGCCCTCTTGCCCCCCCGGCTCGCCCTGCTGTCCCTGAGCAGACGGGCGGTGCAGCGCTGCCAGGTGTGGAGGGTTTTCGCCGACCAGATCCACATGCCTGACGTGATGCCCACGAGCAGCGACATGAAGATCCGAAGCATCTCCGACGCCACATACGAGTCCTGCGTGCTGGCTCTGAACTCCCCCCAGTGGGACAGCTGGTAGAGGTAGCAGCCGATGACGGTGGACGCCGGGACCGTGTAGAGAACCGAAAACACCCCGATCTTCACCATTAAACGCTCCAGCTTGTCGGTTTTGGCGCCGTCCTTCTGCAGATTGGAGCGGATCTTGAAGAGGGCCACTAGGCCGGCACAGATGAACAGAGTGCCTGAAAATCAGAGGGGGAAACAACGGTCTCGTAAGGACCAACAGAGAGAGAAAACACAATGGCAGCTAAGCTATTACTAATAGCTCAAATCTCTTAACTCGGTGCTGTTGTATTTACCTATTAGAAGGTACGTGGCCAGTGGGGCCACCACAAAGCCTGTGAGCGCCTCCTGCTGCTGGTTGCCCACATAGCAGAGTCCAGTTAGGTCGTCTGCATCCACCAGTCGCATTATGAGGATGACGATGGTCTTAACGGCCGGGATGGCCCAGGCGGCGATGTGGAAGTAGGAGCTGTGCATCTCTATAGCCTCATGACCCCACTTCAGTCCAGCAGCCAAGAACCAAGTGAGGGTCAGGATCACCCACCTGGAAGAAGAGCGAAGATGAGCGAAGAGCCACAAACACTGCTTACATGTGCAGTTGGGTTTGTCTTTCTGAACACACACGTTTGCTGTACACCAGATGCAAAGGCAAAATGACAGTTTACTGAGATGCTCAGAAACTCAACCAGCTTCATGGCTTTTTCCACAGTACTTCCAGGGTTGAATTAGATCATCATCAGTAGTCGCATTACAGCAGGTTGTGATTGTGTTTGAGGAGACATTGTACTCTTTGCTTCTTGTGGTCTGCTGCTCCTCCACAAGGAAAAAAGTGAAGGAAAACCAGGGCAAAGGGAAAAGGGAAAAAAAAGAGCTGTGACAGCAAATGTACTGCAGCACACTTAAAAAGTGCCTTTTTTTTGTCTCCCCGAATCCACCTAGTGCAGAGGTTATGAGACAGGATAGCTGGCCTTTAAAGAAAACAGGATGCAAGTCTCATGTTCAAATTGTTCCAATCACAACAACTGACAATGGGACAAAGACTTGAAAGACCCATATGATGAGAGGTGTGTGTGTGTGTGTGTGTGTGTGTGTGTGTTGTACTAACCAGAGGGAGGAAGCCATGCCAAAGAAGTAGAGCAGGAGGAAGACTATGGCACAGCCGGTGCTCTTTAACCCTTCTTGTACGAGGATCGGTACAGCGGTGGCATCCAGGTCACAGGAAACACGTTCCCTCCCCAGTGTCAATCGCACCTGCGCGATGGAAAATCACGGCGGAAAACAACAACAAATTCTCATTTGGTTGTGCTCTTTTTATTAGTCAATCTGACTTTTATTTAGAGTTCATCATGACAAATAGTGGCTACTTGACTTTGTACAATCCTCTAGACGCATTTGATGTACTGCACTCATTTCAGTCTTCATTCAAATAAACTCTACGGGGAAATGCAACACCCATCCTCCCACTTACCAAGTAGGCCACGCTGTACAGGTTACAGCACATGGACAGGAAGATGATGGGCCTTTCCGGGTAGGAGAAGCGCTGTGAATCCAGCAGGAAGGTCAGCACCGTCAGCGTGGTGGACAGGAAGCACAGCACGGCCCACACGGCCATCCAGGCGTCTGTGAAGACTTTGGCCCCCCGGCGGTAGAGCCCGCTGTCGTAGCCACACTGGAGAGCACAGCTTTCGCTCTGTTTCAACCAGGTGTACTGGTCGGGTGCAGAACCCAGGGCCTGACAGTCCTCCTGTTGGGGGGGGTGGCGGACGGGCTGGTAGGGCGGGTCCTCGTCCCCGGGGCCCTCCATGCACATGTGGTTGTGGTCATTTTGAGGCGGGAAGAGGCTGCAGTTGAGCACCTGGAGCACAATGAGAAATGCCTTGTTTTTTATACATTCTGTGCTCATTTTATAGAAAAAAAGATGTTGGTTTTAAACATCAAATGCATGTTCTTGAAATCATGTTCTTGACTCACCTCAGGCCAAATGAAGCCAAACTCATGGAGCACCGGGAGGCATTTCCTCTTGACAGACAGGCACATGCTCCCACACGGACCGATGGGGATGGGAACCTTGTCGGTGCACATTGGCACGTAGACTGAGCAGAGGAAGAACTGGAGAAAAGCAAAGACAAAAGACCAGAGGTTAAACGTTCTGCTGCGACATGTTTCACTGACAGTTCACAGGAACATACAGCGACTGCAGTAAAGCTTAGACCGATGACGCTGCAAATATTGTGTGTGCGTACAGTACAGAACTATTTTAAGGAGTGAAAAAGAGGAAAAAACATATTGAGGAGCGATGCACGAGGTAAAATAAAAGAAGTAGTCAACATCTTTGTACATTAAAACAAACTGCGAAGCAGAAGCAAAATCAAGTCAGTTGTGAAAGAAGTGGAAACAGTGGTGCCGGTGCCATGTGGGCCGCCCTTCCCATTTACTACAGCCGGTAGATGGCTACACCTCCTGCTGCCACATGTGGATCCTCCGTCCTCTTACATACAGCACTCGCTCTGCCTTTTGCTTTCAATACATTGCATCACCTCTTACGATGGGTTTCTACTTTCGAGACCCCCACGACCAAAATTGAACCTGCTCCAGGGTTTCTCACGCACACACACAACTCGACGTCTTCATAACAATCCGTGGACTTGTTACACTACGGGCATGTGCCATGTAATGCTCCATAATCCCCCCCTAATCCAAGGCTCACTTTTCTCTGTCCTGTGGCAGTGTTTTTGAAATAGATATCCAAGTCAGAGTTGTAGAGATAGTGAGCAGTCTTCAGTCACATGTGACGCTTTGATTTGATTTCGTGCCGTCACACTTACATTTGGTTTGAAGCCGAGGTGTGAAATTGTGCCAAGCTCGTCGTGATATGAAAGGACAGAGAAGTCAAAAAGCACTTCTTACTTGGCTACCTTCAGGTGAAGTAAACAAACATGTGCTGCAGGATCTTAGACGGGCTGATTTAAAATAGTTATGGTTTGCTACCTTTCTTTCTTAAATACCAATCTTTTTCACTATGCTGTAATTGGAACAAAATGTTTTGGGTTTGCGGTCTCGATCCAGTGATGGAGAAATCCCAGCTTGAAGTGAGCCCTTGAACAGAGCATGAATGAAACATGAATCCAAGAATGGTGTCAAGGTTGATAAATAAATATACACTGCAACCTTTTACAACTCGTTTTCTGAGAGAATGTATTTGCTAAATAAATTAAAGATACTTAGCTTCTTTTTTGACACCTGCAAGCTAATTCTTCTTCCAATGCTTTTGATTAGGAGTCAACAACAACTCTCACTCTGTAACGTACTGCAGGGAAGTATGTGAGGAACTCTTATCTGACGCAGCGGGACTTCCTCCAAACTTAATTTGTTACACTGTTCTCTGATCAGTATCTGGGTCGCAGCAGCTTTCCCTCAGCAAGTAGAGCAGACGGGCCGACCTGAAGACCATATTAAGTTTCTCAACGCAAATAAGAGATTCTTTGTTCCCAGAACCGAACCACGCATATTGGAGCCCCAGGTTTCACAACAATTCACAAAGAGGTCATAAAAGCAGTCGATATTAATACCACAGCATTTATTTCCCACAGTGAATTACACCAGCGACAGCATTGTAACACATTCCGGGTGTTTCCCCCGGCCGTCGGTAACCCGAGTGTTGTCACTTCGCTGCTATTAGCTGCTCCGGTGACCTGTCAGGAAGCCTCCCATTAGAGCAAATGTTAGGGGGAAAGGGAAACTGTATCCCCTTTCTTCCCTCTTCGGTCTGTGAGTTTAGAGATGGGGGGACAGGGAGAGAGAGAAGGGAGGGGGGGAGAGATAATCTTTTTCCAAAAAATTTTGTTGGAGGACAGCTCATCATAGACCTAGCAGCTCTCTTCTCTCTCTCTCCTTTAAATAATAAAAATAAAAATAAATTTATATATATATATATATATATATATATATATATATATATATATATATATATATATATATATGTGTGAGGCATCTCTGAATAAAGAGAATGTAAAAGGATGTCATTTCCACAAACGTGGGCTCCCATTTATCCACCATTTGATCTCTGCGTGTGTCTTGTCTTTCCACTTATAGTCTCAAATGTTAGAGATAAGCGTGACGACCAATCTCATTCCCCCCCCCCCCCCCCGCATGGTGCATCAGCGAAACAAGCAGCATTTTTCTTAGGACACTGAGGGCACCATTGTTATCAACAACCCAGTACAGTATAGGCCCATAGCACTGCAGACTCAGCTGTTGCTGCGGGGGGCATGAACTCCGAATGTCAACACACAGAGGGGGGCATTTTCATTTAAATTAGCATGACAGCCCAGCACACACAAACATGAGGGCGAGATGGAAGCAAGACAGCGACCCCCAACACTTATTTTTCATTTTAACAAGCTGGGCTCCAACATATATTATCCTCCTGCACCATCAGCGTTCATCCTGGTCTAACATCTGCATGCATCTGCACGCATCATCCCGGTACCTTGAGTTGGCTGGAGCAGCCGTACTGGATGAGCGGGGTGAACGTGGTCAGCTGCAGCTCGGCGTCTGACTGCAGCACGTTGCCGACCAGATTGGGCATTTTGGTGACGTTGTAGCCGAGACCTTGGCACATGCTGATCCGGATCGGGTCGCAGGTCATCTCCTCCACCTCGTCGCCGAACGCCTCGACCTCGCGGAGCGCGCCGAGGAGCGCGGACAGGACGAGCAGCGCCGCCCCGCCGAACGACCGCAAAATCCCGGGCATGGTCTCCCCTCACTCCCCGCCACCCCCCCACTCTCTCCTCTCCTCCCCCGCAAAGCCGAGCAGGATGCCCTCTGCAACGTTATTAATACCACCACCCCCACCCTGAAGCCAAAGTTCAGTTTGGTCACCCTGCAAACCGCGGCGCGTGCTCGGGGGCTACGGTCCAGCCGGACCGGAGCGCGTGTAGTCCGTGCGTTTTTGGAGCTTATCGTATCCAACCACGAGCATTTCAGTAGATGCAAATATCCCGAAACTTCAAAAATAACGTTCGCATCTGCAGTTTAAAAAAAGAAAAAAAAGAAGAAGAAGTAATAGAAGAAATCCCCAAATCGGATAAAATCCCGCAGTCCTCGTTGCGTGGTTTTCCCGTTGATAAGTCCGCGGGGATACGCGCAGCGCAGACACACGGCGCTGTGGCTTTTTGCGCCCACTGCCTGCAGGCGTCCGGCTCTAAACTTTATTGTGTCTGTGAAGGAGAGGCTGCTTCGCCCGTCCAGAGGGGAGCCGACCAATCGGTGAGCGGGAGTTGGGTTTCCCTGTCCAACCCCTGACCAGGAGGGCGGGATCCGAGAGGAAAACACAAGGGCCAGCCTCGTGTCGTCCCGTTTGCCTTCACTTCTTTACTTTCTTTCGGCTCTGCTTCTCTCCTGTCCTCTTGTTCTGCCGTCATCCCTCCTCTCCAGCCTTCCAGCAAAGAAATTCAAGGGAGGGTTCCACAAATAATTCTGACAATATCCAGAACCTGTATTTATACTGGCAGACGTGGCTTTCACATATTTTTATTGGCTTTGTCTTTAGAAAATAAGCATCTGAAAGGTTGATTTTTCAGTGCAAGCGTGTTTTCATTTTAAATTTAAAGTCCCTAATGGTCTTTTAAGCCCGTCTGGGACGCCACCGCAGGTTCCACTCTCCCCCTCTAAAGGCCCGTCATCTCTAAGTGCTCGTGACATTGTAATTGAAAGTAGGGCCTTCAGGGATGCTGAAGCATTGAGAATCTGTTTTGCATTGCAATGAATGCACATAGCGGACAGGTTTTGTTTGCATGTAGCTCCCTGTTGGAAGACTTCTCTTTTACAGCATGAAACGTGCAGTGAAGAGTGTTGTTTTGGCTTTTCTTTGCTGTAAAAGTGAACTTGGGTGATTGGAGTGCTTGGATTTGTTGCAACTATTTTGAGAGGAGGAAAGCTTAAGTAGGCTACTTGATTTGTGTTTTCTTCACATGATTTCCAATCCTGAGGCTGCCAGGTTTAATCAAACTCAACTTAAGAGCTCCGCAGAACTTTTCAAATTCCACGAATAGTGTATTCTAATGTTCATTTGCCCAGAGTTTAAATGGAAGATTCAATTCAGAACTACACTTAACTCAAATTTCATGCTTCCACAGAAAGGGCAAGCGTAATGAAATAAAACACTTTCATTACGATACAACAATTTCCACATGTCCAGTCCAGTTGCTTGACAGCTTAAGTAACTGAAGTTTTGAGTGTCTGAAACGACTTTAGGCATACTAATTAGTACGTGATTCACAAACACATGCTTGGCAAACTACCACAACAAGGAAGTGAGGCTGGATCCAAAATATGAGGTAAAAACCTAATTGTATTCTGGCCAGAGAACAACAAAGAACCAACACAGAGGGAATTTGGTGCGGCCAAGACAAATAAGCAGTGTTGCAGATTAATAGATTATTTTATTTCCCAAAAGCTCTTGATTTAATGTGTTCGTGCCGATGTACCTCTGTGGAGTTATTTAACAAACCAACTGCAATGCTTAAAACATCAGCAGCAGTCTGGTTTGTTTTTGCTCTCGGATTATACTGCGATGTTTAGGCGAATCCGGTGTGACAATTGATTGGCGGCAGCAATGAACTCCCCACCCCCAACCCTCTCACACACACACACACACACATGCGAATACTCGCCATCCCCCCTCTCCTGCTCTTTGGCTGAAACTGGGGTCAAGACCTGGAGTAATTAGCACTGAGCTGAAACAATAGAGTGTGCCTCTGAGCTGATGGTTATCAGGGGCGAGCCGTGTGTGCGCCCAAAATAAAGAGATGAATGAATGGGAAACACAAAATAGAGAACCAAATCAAAGCTATTTTCTGTTGTACTTTATCCACAGTTACACATTTTTTATCAAGTCCTGATGATTAACGGCATTCATTTTAACAGCAGACACAGAGGAGGAGATGAGCCAGGCAGGCGGAGCGGTAAAGGGGGGTCGGGGGTGTGTGTGGGGGGGGTGAGGCCCTGCAGCGCCTCCAGCACACTCCGTCCTGCCCTCTTGTTTACTCTCCCAGTCGAGTGTGAATAGCAGTGGTGAGCAGACAACGTGTTGGAATTGACAGACTAATGACCATCACGCTGAGTGGATAATGACCACAGTTACCCTTTAAGCCATAAAACCACTGAGTTAACAGTTGACTATAGGCTTCGCCATTAAAATGGGCATTTGGCGGGCAAGCAAAGAAAAGATAACTGCAGGTTTTTAATCCATTTGTAGGTCCAGATCTATATGAATTAAGATGAAACAGGCGGTTTCTAATAACCTATTTTAGTAGCCTGGTGCTGGTTCACATCAATCAACAAGTATATTTTGTGGCCGTCCTTACTCCAAGCACAACATCCTCTGTGACCAAACCAGCAATCAGCTGCGGGAGGAAATCAGGCAGTTTTGGATAGCATGATTGCAGGTCGACTCTAGAGGATCCCCGGTTTACCGAGCTCGAATTCAGTATTCCAATACAGTTTTACGCGTTTAAAGGAATCTAGAACATAGAGGACTGACGCTCTGGTTTTATTAAACAACGTTGTAGGATTTTACCCACGGACCTGCAACATGACGTCTCCGTGAGAAATTCAACATTTCTCTTTCCGGTCTGGTAAAGCAGACAAATAGTCATTCTAATGATCTACACCACACAGTTTCTTCCAACACAACAGCCACGTGATGATTTGAATCTGTTGATGCCAACAAAAATAAGTCAAAGGTGTGATTTTCCTTTCCGAAATAAGCCACGTGCTAACATTTCGAAGGTTTGACGCTTGAGACGACATTGTGCCAAGGCTGGTGTGGGATCAAGCCTCCACACGGTCGTAGCTTCCCTAATCCATGCTCTCCATCACTGCCACCAGTTACTCTCAAAATAACATACATGCAAGTGCAATTATGGTCACCACATGGGTGGACTGGTTGTGCAAGTCAATAAGTGAATTAGGGGACTAATATTCATGTTTTGTTTTAGGATGAAATTGAAACGCGTTGGAATGTTGCGAAATCGATTCATGAATATTACTAAAACATCTGTAATGCTCAGTGATACTAGAATGGCCATTAATGATTCAACACCAGCTGTTCAAAAGATTTCCCTCCATTTTTGGCATTGCCATGACTATTTCATATTAAAGTAGGTGGTGTTGAAGAACACAAAGCTACCGATTTGTATCACATGAGACTTTTTGGGAATCAGTTTGCAGCTGAAGAACAAGGTTCAGAGGGGTTGCTGAATTCAAAGTGCAGCTCAGTGGTTTTCTCTCACGCGTGGCTTCGTCTCTTTGAATGAACCCATGAACACGTTGGGTGGACCACGGGCCCGTTAAGGCCTACGTGGTGGCTTACTGTGGGAATGCAACCAGTCTAACCTTTCAGCTTGGCAAGCAGAATGAAAGGCAGTACCCCAAGGACAGAAAGAGAGACACAAGTGTGTATCGGCCACTAGATCTTACAGCTCGATTCCCAATCCCTCAGTCCTTGAAGTGCGGTATTAATAGGACTGCCAACTCCTTGGAATGGCGTCAGTGTGGATAACTGCTAAAATTCTGCATGCTGGAGTTTGTGTGTCTGAAACTGTGGGGGTTTACTTCTAGGAATTTGGTATTTTAAGCATCTAGGTATGAAAATGCAGGTGTTTTTTTGGGGGGGGGGGGGCAGAGTTGTGGGACAAGGTGCTTATCCCACAATGGGGGTTGAGGGAATTTGATAGAAGAGACTGGGGGGGTTTCTTCAGGTGATCCGTCCCCTGTGGGAACACGAGGCTCACGTTACCCCGCTGGAGAGTATCGCACACAACCGCACACAGAGCTGCACACACTCCTTCTTTAACATCAGTCGTCCCTCACCTCTCTCACTGCCCTTTTCAGAGCTTGTCGGTCAGCTGCTCCTTTTCTGTCTCCATCTGTTGTTGTGCAGCTCGCACAGTCCAAATTGCAAACTGGGAGCGAGGTTTCCCCTCGACGGCCCTTTTGAAATAACCAACAAGGTTTGATAGAACTGCTAGAAATGGACGTCTTACTCCACCAAAGTGTGTCTGCCTGTTACGCTTGTGAGACACTCTGGTTGCGCAGGTAACCCTCATACAGCAGTAGGCCCTGTGTATGATATTTAAAAGAAAAAAAAAAAAAGCCACCCTGTTAAGTTTAGGCCTGGCTTGAGTTTTTTATTTATTTTGTCTCAAGCATGAAGAGTGGATAGCAGTTCCTCATGTGCACTAAATACCAAATAAGTAGATAATACAAATAATCTGGGCTACTTGTTTTCATGAATATTATCCCGCATCTTGATTGCTATCTTCATCATAACTTCATGATACTACAATGCACGAGAACGTGGCTCATCTACTCATTTTTGATTCTCACGGGCACTGTTCTGACCGAATACTTTGGCCCAAGGCGGCCCACTCTCGCCTGTTGGGTGACAGGCAACAGATTGCTGAGAGATGGATCCAGTCCGTGGCTATAAATCGGCCTCTTGTTGGAGATTTAACCCCTGCAACCCTGCTTTTCTATAACGGCAGTCTCCCGTCACACAGCCTACGGCAGCCGATTAACTTTTCCCACAAATGTGATGAGCAGGTGCTAGTGGTCCGATTGTTGGGAAGCGGACGGACTGGAAAAGTTAATATATGCTGCATGATATACGACGTACTGCGTGGGTGAGAATACGGCTCCCATAAGAAAAATAGCGACATAAAAGCCGCCTCCCATCCATCGAACATCTGCACCGCCAGCTGGAGGCAGCTTCCTGTGATTATGGAAATCTGTCACGACAGCAAATTTTAGCAGATCTTCATCATCAACCAAGGAGACCGGGCAAAATGTTGAATGTGTTCTTTGTGTGGGGACCGCGTCCTGTTGCAGTCCTCCTTCAGAATGAACCAGAAAGGAAATGTATCATGTAAAAGCTCAATTACATGACGATAACCTTCACATACATGCACACGCATTCATACCCACAGAGCATTAGGGAGTAGTTATCCTCCTCCTCCTCCACCTCCTCCTCCTGACCTTCTGCAGCCACAGCTGTTTCTCCTCTGCTCTCTCTGGTGACTGAGTTTTATTAACGTGCTGAAACTAAGTAACCAGATAATATGGATCTCTGTAGCTCTGCTCACAGACTGATTCGTCCCCCCGCTTGCAGCGTTTGCGTGAGGGTGGGGGCAAAGTGCATGCATTTATTGTA